GGTTTTTCTTTTTTTTTTTTAATTTTTTGCAGATTTTCTACACGATACCTCCAATCAGAGTTAATGTACACGTGCATCCATCCCGCGTGATAGAGACACGCTTGCTATAAGATCGTAGGTGCCTGGTACATTTCGAGACGTATTATTTCGCGTTTCTTTTTTGTTCCTACGTGCCTCATTCGTGTCACATGTGCTGTGTCTCATGAGCTAAGCTCGGCGAGCTCCAGGGAGATCGGCAGCGTACCTACGTCCTGCGTGCATGCTAAAAGTGGCTGGTTGGTGGAGAACTGTTGTAGTCCTGTCACATTCTCGTGTTGCTGGTACAACTGATTGATTTCAATCAGTTGATATTCAGTTTTTGAGAGTTGAAAGATTGTGGTTTTATAGAAGTATTTCAAGCGGAAGATGTGTTAAACGATTACGAACCAATTACCGGCGGGGTTATTTGCTACCGATCCATGCGCATGGAATTTTCATGGTTCAAAATATTGATTTAGCTCCATCAAGTTCAAACGATTTCAAATCAGCACCTGATCATTCTCACACAATTTGTTCTCAATAGGATGCGAACTCATATTGCACTTGGCCCTTTGAAGTTTATGTGGGAATTGAAAAATTGAACGTTAGGATTATTAGTTATTGATTGATTAGGAAGATAATGTTCTTCTGACATGGTTCATTTACTGTTCAGCAGACAAAAAATTGAGGCTATTGTGTCATAAGGGCAAGATGCAGTGTTGCCCTGAAAACAGCCGATTAATCCTACCAGCACGTTATCAGCTTGGAAATTAATTAAGAACAAATTTTCTTGACATTCAACAAAGTTGTAGCTGGGAAATTTTCACGTAAAGGGGGGGGGGGGGGGGCTCTGATGGACAACTTTTCCGTAAATCATTATGGTGCAGGACTAGAACGATGAGGACAAAAAATACACTTTTCTTATAGTAATTCCCATATAAACTTCAAAGAGCCAGTGCAGAATCAGTTCGCCACCAAATTAGTTCAAATTTTGGGATATTGATCAGCCTGATTTGGATCCGATTGATCTTGGTGGATCAAATTGATAGGTATTTTGCAGCTGGCAGAGAGCCAATAGTTCGGAGGGCCCTTTAAAAAAAACTTCGTTGTTGAAATTGATTCGTATGACTTCATCGATCAGTATTTTCAGCCTTTCAAGCTGTAGCCGACATCACTAGTTAATTCAAACATCTACTTAAATTTGAGAACTGTTCAAATATATTTAGACAAAAAGCATGGTATGTTCGTCCCAAGTAGTAGTCAACCTGAAAATATGATGAGAAATAAGAAAACTGGATTGTAAATTTTGGGATGAATCCAACATATTTGTCACACTCAACGGTCAGTATATGAATCGAAAACCATGTTTTCCAAAATGTTTATTTAGTAGGTTCAATATCTTTGAAAGCTCTGTGGAGCCGAAGGACTAAACAAATATTCCAATGGAGATCTAAATCGATTTCCTATATTATTTTTTTTTGTTTGCAACGCATTGAATCTCGACAGATCCACAAACCCTTCCTGAGGGCACGTCCATTATCACTACCTCTTCATGCAGCACTTCTACCACTTCCTCTGTTGATTTGCTGGTGCTGTCTGACAATGCACCTACAGCCACTACACCAGGGTACGAACTGCTATCCGAGTTGCAAGGAATTTTGTAGTTCTTCAAGAAACTTCTTGGTACTTCAGGGAAAATTTCTTGAAGTGCAGATTTTTCTTTAAAGTTCAGCTAACTTTGTAGAAGCTCACTGAAATTCATTGAACTTCGTAGAGTTTCATCGAACTGCTTCGATAACTCTTCTTCTACGTTCCTGAAAAAGTTATAAGACAACGACACTTCATACACCTTGCAGTTCGTAATTGACAGTATGGGCTGAATGAGGCTATTCATACTGTCGCTAATGTGATTAGTAACACTTATGCTTCGTTTGACACTAATGTTCCGTTAACTGTTTTCACTAGAACATTATATTTTGTTTTATGCATCAAGACCAACATATGTCAGATGAATCATGAGCTAAATTTAGTGAAATTATTTGAAATTCTGATATCATGGAAAAGTTCAGAAAAATTCGTAGAAGTGGGAACTTTATACAAGTTTAGGTATCTTCGTAGAAGTTTATTGTTTAATGGCAGGGAACCTCTTTATTATTCAGGGACCTTTTTTATAACTTCAGAGCTTTGATGAAACCTCATGGACTTGAAATAGTTCAGAGAATCCCGCACAAATTCAGTAAATTTCGTGCGTCGAGCTTTGCGCAAAATCAACGAGAAACGTAGACGTGAAGCAAGCTTTGATGAAGTGTTGTGGACTGCGTAATAATTCGAGGAACTGCGTATAACTTCATAGAAGTACAGGGCATTTTGAAAAAGTTTAGGGAATTTCGTAAAGATAGAATACTATAGGGATCTTCGTTTCAGTTTAGGGAACTTTATAGCAGTTAGCCAGAGATTTTAAAAACATCAATGAACTTCCTGAAGATGAAGATTTTGGACCACCGTTTAATTTCAAGGTACTTTGAAATTTGAGTAAATTTTCTAACACCTAAGGAAATTTTGTAGATGTTCAAGAAACGTTGCATAAGTAACAGGATATTCTTTCAGATATGCTCCCTAGACAGCCAGCAAGTTTTAAAAGATCAGCATTTGCTGATGTTCTTCTGATCTGAATTAGCGAGTTGCTAAAAAAAAGGATGACTTAAGAATGTGCTTAAGTTTTTGAATATCATAATTTTTCAAATGGATAGATCAACTTTCAACACAGTATTTTCCAAATTTAAACCATACACTCTGGTAACATGGTGGCAACATGGTGATTTGATCGGTTGATCTGTTGCAGGTTGTAGCAATGGCTGTACCACTTTCTGGTTTGTTGTAGCGAGATGGTGGCGCTTGGTGGTCACTTTGTGGAATTGGTGCCGATACTCAGGCGCTTCCTTCTGACACTGTTGGTATACAAAGGCAAGGTCGCCCCGTTATCTAACCGAAAAGGTTATTTCTTCTTAGCGATTACGGACATTGACGCGAAAACGATGCCATCGAAACCCGCAGAGCAATGGTCAGCAGAAGCCACCTAGATCGTACCGTGCCAACCAGAAAGCGATTTGAAGGAACAGAACAGAAGGTCGGTAGACTTGGTGATATTAATAATTAGAATGGTAAATATATCACTGCACTGGTCTACACGCTCATCTCAGTTAAAGCCAACGATGCCCGCTCATGTCACTATTTTGCTGCAACTATTTAGCATAGACCGCGCCATCACCCAGTGGGTCACCGCTTCTGTTATAGAATTTATCTGAATGCTCGATCACATGAGGCACATTAAAAAAAAATCTGAACATTTTTAAAGTAATGGTAACAAAGTACAAGTGAACGCGTAAAGGTAATACGCCAAGAAAAAATGTACTGCAAAAAAAAATCTTTCACCCATTGAATTATCATAACATTGCATTTGCTAATCTATTCGTATTTTGAATCCCATCTAACAAAATATACCAGTTGTGTTGCCGATGAATGGTTAAATTTCGTTGAAAATGTTTGAACGTCATGCAACGGTCAAATCCCCGTACTAAACAATACCGATACACTTTTTGTAGAATTTTTGTCCATTCTATATTTTGAAAATAACGTGTCAAAAGATGTTAGTCATGCAAGTGCAGTTAAGTGTTGAACCGGAAAAAATAAACAAAGAATAATCTAAATGATCGGCAAATTAATGGCTTTTGCTATTAGAGGATTTCAAGAATTTAAGCACTGCAAATATATGCTACCTTTCCTCTAAAATAGGATTTGTGCAAACGCAAATGAAATGTCGGTCAAAGCAACCAAGTTTCAACAGCCTGTATTTCGCTTACCTACACCTTCCAGAACTTCGAGCTCTGCAGTTCTAGCATTAATTGTAGCACATGAGATGAGGCACATGAGATCAGCGCGAGCCTCGCGCACGCCAGGATTTTTGGGTGTCGCGTTTGTTTCTCGCTCGTATCTTATTCTCGCGTGTCTCTTTCTCGCTCGTCACATGTTGATTTCGTTGCGACGGGAGACGGTTTTTTGAGAGTCTCGGCAGCACATTTTTGCACACACGAGAAAAATGTAACTCTGCCTCCAATAGAAAAAAAAAAAACACTCGAAACAGGACAAAAATCAATGCCTACTATGATTACGTAGCTGTCGCGGACTGTCCTACTCGTTTCTGTCTCTTATACTTAGAAGAGAAATTTAATAAGAAGTTGTTCTAGCAACAAATGTTAATTGATTTTGCAGAAAGTCGATTTAATCAATACGGATTTTACTTGAGAGTCAAAAAGAACTCTTTAATGCCATTTGGACTAATTGAATCAACTTTTGAACCTTGTTTAACTGCATTTGTTCAATTCGCAATAATTTTGTATCGTCAATAGTCCATATACGCCTTCATAATCGGCTTTGTAAACTTCAAAATACTTTTTCTCTAAAAACCCAAGGTGAAATATTTAAAAACCATCACATATTTGATTATTAGGATCAATAGTAACATCCTGTGAAGGAAAATTTTCAATAGCGACCAAAAATATCCATTAGTACCGCCCCAATGACGCGTTCATCTAGATAAAATTGATATGTAGCAGATTTTTAGCGATGGGCCCAATGTTAGATCCATAGGCTAACATTAGAGTCATTTCCCTATGCGTGTGTTTCGCTGAAAAATTTCTAATAGAAGTGCGGACGCTACTTAGATTGACGAGAATACGTGAATTTCCCTTTTACGAAAATCGTCTACAACTTTCCAAGAACAGTCGCACCGTTCTATGTTATTATAATAAATCGCTAAACAGCAGTGTCTCAATGCAGGCAAACCTTTCCCCTATTCAACATTGATGGCATCGTTACATAAAACTTTCGCCAGACATTCCTAAACAGTCCATTTCAGTACCAGTGAAGTTAAACCAAAGATGAACTGAATTGATTTCTAAAACTATCCTTTCCATACTTTCCAGCAATCCGCGGCACAGACCCAGCAGGGCAGAGCCGCATAAACATCGCAATCAAGATCATCTCCAAACGACATTAAATCAACCGTGCACAGCTTCATGCCACCACTGCCTGCCGTCGTCGGCAGGAGATACAAATGGAACAAAAATATGCAGATCATATGTAGAAGCCGTTTCAGGTTACACACTACTCGCTCGCCTGATCCAATGGCCGATCGGATGGAATCTTAATTTTGAAATCAAAACTTTTTACCCGCTCGATTAGACCGCGTGAGACAGTTTCTCCGATGCTGATGCCGTTCGTGTGCATCAACAACAACGGAGCAGATTAGTGACGTCACGCCGCCAGTTGCTACATTATATGTAGAGGGAAGAACTACTAAACAGTGAAGCTGAAAAAAAGGGGGAATACCACGTTCGCGCGCTCTCAATCGCACGTTGTGGCATGTGAAAAGGATCAAATTTCAAGCATTAAGCGAGCCGGTGGTGACGGCATTGCCCTGAGTCACGAAGAGCGTCACCAAATGGATCTAGTGATGGCCACATCGACCGCGACATCGTCGAAGAGTTCGCCCTCGCCCCATCGGATTAAGGTCAAGAAGGAGGTATGCACCGAACCGGACAACATCAAGGTAAGCCCAATGCAATTCGATGGGAGGAATTCCCATGGATGTAGTAGGTACATATATCAGGGATTCAAATTCCACACGGACCGATTTCGTACCTTGTCGGGTCACATTCCAGTTTATTTCGACTCCTCCCGGGGTCCATTAATAATCCTACCGCGTGCGACTGCTGACGGACGGGTATCGGGTTTCGATTTTCGTCTCATCGGTGACTGGCCAGGCAAAAGCTGTGTCGCTTGATGGTGCCAGAAACGTGTCTGCAGTAATCCGACCCCACTGTACATGGTAAACGTAACCCGATATCGTCTGATTTGTATCGGATATAAAAGAACTACGTTCCGGGTATAGCGGCAGTCGGAGATGTCGGGGGACGGGGTAATGCGTTGTAGTGATACCAGTTTGACAAACAGTTGTTGGTTGGTGAAATTTCGTTACTGTTTGTAAATCATATTCTCGTGGTAATTTGGACTTGAAACGCTCAAACTCGCTCTTCTAGCATGGCATGCCGCGATTTCATCGCTTACTTGTATTTAGCTAGGGGAGACAACTGTGGCATAGGTTTGGATCCAGTGCTGGTCGATTTTAAAGTTTATGTTTGTCTTTTGTTGTTGTATTTAATGCATACAAAACTTCTGTACACTGTTTGAATTGATTCAACACGGATAATGTTCAAAAGGTACTGCGAAGATGAATAAAATTAATCCAGATGTCCTGTCTTGTCTTAGGTATTTAGATAGACTTGTGAACTATTTGATTTTCTTCAAATTATAAGTTGCCCTAGAAACTTCAATATGACGTGTCGGTCAATACAAATTTTAAGTATCGTTTCCCTCGAATCCAGTCATAAAGTCACACCCACGCTCGTTCTTCCCAAGTAAACTCACTGCAATGTCCTGTCAGTCAGTCAGTCAGTCAGGGTCATCAGTCAAAAAAAAAAAAAAAAAACAGAATCCAACCATAAAACGCAACGATCGACACCATCGCCGAGGAAAATACAACCAACGAAACGCAAAGCCAGGTAGGTATCATATTACAACAACCGTCATCCCATCGGATCGCATCGGTAGCGGTTACTTGTCTATTTTTCATATTTGGCTGCTGTTGTTGTTGTTCGTCTCGCCAAAAATAACCACCTCTCACGTTCGGATGAGTCGGATCGGAACCTTATTTTCGAAAATTGTTTAGCAACTGTTAACGGACCTCTTACCTGGCTGCCTGTTGCGTCTTTTGTATGAGAAGTTGTATTTTTAGGCTGCACGCGTGCAGTGAACATATGCTATTATCATTTTACCTGTAGAATCGGAAACCATGGTCCGCATCCAACTGTGGGGACACTCATCGGGTTTGCTGGTGTATTTTTAGCCGGAACACTTTGTTTGATATTTTAGTACACTGTCATCGGATACCGCGGGACATCATCGTGGTCGGTCCGAGTCCCGTCTTCCGTTGTCGTTCTCATATATGGGATGAGAGCGTAGTACAACTAATGGCGTGGTTAGTTCGCGGATACTGAACATAATATCCCGCGCACAAACACACCCAAATACCGCCCCCGTTCCGGCCGCCCTTTGGTAGTTTGATGTCGAAACTGCGAAGCCAAAAGTATCACGTTACGTTTCGCCCGTTCGTCCGTGCTGTACCCATGTGTTACGGAGCTCCCAATGATGTTTATGAAGAAATTACGCCAAAGACACAACAGAAGTATTAATCGGTACTAGCACCAGGAGTGGGGTGGTCAAAATTAGTATTTTTTTTCTCCGCAGGAAGGGCAATTCATTTTTAATTATGGTCTGATGAGTCTTTCGAAATTTTAGCTAATCAAATGGCTTAGAACTGAACCTTGGAAATTTACGTGATAATCTTTTGCCAACTTTCTGAGGAGGATTAAACTAAAAATGGCTTAACCATTTCTTTAAGAATCATTTGGCTTTTTTACACTCCAAAAAATAAGCACGTCTGATTTACGTGAAAACATAGGTAGCTGTCGTCCATACTATTTTTCACGTAACATTTACGTTAATGTCCTGAAGCCAAAAAATATTCCCATTTAGTGGTCTACGTGAACAGTAAAGTAAATATTACGTGATTTACACTTAACTTGGAATGAATTTCACGTCATCTTTACGTGATTTCTAAATTATATTTACTGCCCCCGCTCCGACCCTCGAGGTGTTACCCTGGCGATATTTTCGAGAAGGAAGACATGGTGATTCTGAATGACGGTGTGCCCACGTACTTTAACGGGCGGCACACTTCTGCCATCGACGTCTCTGCTGTCAGCCGCTGCTTTGCCGGCAAAACTCAGTGGAGCGCGACCACGGATCTCTATGGCAGTGACCACTACCCCATCAAAGTTCAACTTTCGACCGTCACCTTCCCGATGGCGCTATGAACAAGTGGACTGGGATAGCTATGGTGAAGCCTTTCAGTCCTTGTTAGTACAGCGTAATCCACACAGCATTAAAGACTTTGCAGAAGTGGTATACGAAGCGGCAACAGCAACCATCCCAAAGACCAGCAGCGTTCCGGAGCGAAAAACGCTACGCTGGTGGAATGAAGATACGAGGAAAGCCGTTAAATCCCGGCGTATAGCACTTCGCCGTGTAAAGCGCCTTCCTATCGGACATCCCGACCGCGAGGACGCTCTCCGTCACTACCATGAGTAGCACAATCAATGCCGGCAAGAAATCCGTGTCGCAAAACGAACCAGCTGGATGGACTTTCTAGAAGGAATGAATTCGTCACAGTCTTCGGCCTCAGTGGGAAACGGCGCATGACACCGCTCCACGTACAGATTAACGGTGAAGCGGTTTCTGACCCTGCAATTGTAGCGGACGAACTCGGCTCGTACTTTGCCCATCTCGCAGCCATCGAGAAGAACGAAGACGAATTCAAGCGGAAAACTAAGCCTTCGACGTCATCCATTGCAAGTTTCTCTGTTTTTTTCTGATGCTGGGAACCCGGACATCAAGCAGGTATTCTCCTGGCAGGAATTGCAGCATGCCCTCCGCTGCAGCAACGGAAAGTCGGCGGGTCCCGACGAAATTGGGTACCCTCTACTCAAGAGGTTACCAACGCCAGGCCAGCTACGGATGCTGGAGCTTTTCAACAAGCTCTGGCTTACCAACTCGTATCCAGCGTCGTGGAAGGAGAGCTTAGTCATTCCTATCCCAAAAGCCAATGAAGTTAGCAAGTTCCGGCCAATAGCCTTGACATGCTGTATTGCCAAGGTCCGGGAGCGAATGGTCAACAGGAGGCTAAAGCATTTCCTTGAAGTCGAAAACCTGCTAGACCATCGACAGCATGCTTTCCGTCAAGGGTACGGAACGTCAACTTACTTCGCAGGGGAGGTCCTCAAGAGTACCAACGATAGCGGTCTCCACACCGAGATCGTCTCGCTGGATATATCGAAGGCCTTCAACAGGACGTGGACGCCCCTCGTCTCAAAACAGCTTGTCAACTGAGGGCTGTGTGGACCCATGGTCCACTTCATCAAAAATTGCCTGACCGATCGTTCTTTCAGAGTCGCAGTTGGCAACACGAGGTCCCAGCTTTTCAGAGAAGAGACGGGCGTCCCACAAGGTCCAGTTATCGCCGTTACCCTCTTCCTTGTGGCCATGAACGAAGTTTTCGAAGGACTGCCGAAAAATGTTTACATTTTCGTGTATGCTGACGATGTACTTATCGTAACTACCGGCCCAACAGCAGCACGTAACAGGATCAAGGACCAGGCAGCAGTCTCCGCTGGGCCAGCGCGTTAGGTTTCCAGCTTTTGGCCACCAAAAGCGTCAGGTGCCACGTGTGTCCATCCCGGCACCATGTCAGCGGGCCACCTATCAAAGTTCAAAGCCAGCCCATACCACTAAAGAAGACGGTCCGTATTTCGGGGGGTAATTGTTGACCGGTCCCGCAACTTCGAGCAGCACTTTAAGGCGATCAAGAACGACTGCCGCAGTAGGATCAACTTGATCCGCACCATCTCTCGTCCCCACCGGTCAAACAATCGCGACACTCGTTGCCGGGTTGCAAGAGCCGTGATCGATAGTCGATAGTAGTACCAACAATCAATACGAAACTAATGGCTTGGCTCACTACTTGACTAGCCTATTGGTCCCAAGCAAACGATTAACGTACCCCATTCTAGTCAAAACTCTAGTACTACACTATGTTTGTTTTGATTCGCTATGAAAGTTTGACAGATAAAATGATGGGTTAGTTAATTTTCCTATGTTTCGAGGGGTGAATCGATTAGCTTGGAACCGAAGAGAGTACCAGAGCTGAGTTAAAAAGTTGCGAACGTTTCTTCGGGACCTTCTGGTCTTAGAGTTACCTCTATGATAGTACGGTCTTGAGATGACGTGCATCGCCACCGAAAAGCCCGTGCAGATAATAGCAACATCCTCGGACCGGCCCATACTGGTGCTATCCGATTCGTACAGCGTGATACAAGCCCTTCAAGGAATCAAAAATATATTCAAATGACAAAATGATAAGCGATCATCGAACCGAATAATAACGCTATGTCAAAAGTGCAAAGCAATAATGATATAATCTTCTTCGTTCTTTTTTATGACAAGCAGCCCGTGCGACACAACTCATTCGGGGCGGTAGAAGGAAACGAGCAAATTGTTGGCAACTGCTTCACGAAGTAAAGCCGAAGATGATACACGTGTGCTAATGGGAATTTTTTTGTTATGTCTTTTCTCGATTCATATCAAGCTATGTCCTCATCCGTGTATATTGCAACAAAGCAGGCAAGCAATATATCATTATCCTTTTACCACTCGGATCGAGCTATGTTAACGATCGAGTTTGTCATGGTAGTCGTAGCAACCATTTTGTCTGTATCGTTGGTTGCTTTATGTGTTTGCATTCGCTGAAGCCCTTACATCTGAGACCCTGACTCACCCCTGGATACAGGCTATTGTGGAGGCCACACCTCCGAACACGGTGTTTTCCTGGATCCCTGGGCACTGCGGTATCCCAGGAAATAGCGGAGCCGACAG